GAGTGCTTTCAGGTTGATGTCTGTATGACTTTGCCATCTGCTGGTCCTTTTCTTCTCCATGAACTGCCTTGGATTTTCCTTTCTCTGGGAGTTTAGTAAAGTTTGAAAGCCAGAAATATTGGTTACCTTTTGGGTACTAAGGGAATTAAAAGGATTTTCTTAAGGAGTGCTAAGCTTAATTAAAAGTGGACATCAAGTTATAGTTACATTTAAAAGGTCTTCATATTTTTATTTTTGTGGACCTTGTTTTGCTAGTAAAAGGTATGTTTCTCAGTTAACTTAATTATTTTTCCTCAATTTTGCCTTGTCACTCTCAATGCATGCAGGAGAGGGGAGAGAGTTTTGTTTTCTTGATGGAACCGCAGAAATTAAAAGCAGTTAGATCCCTCTCAAAATCTGTTTTTTCCCATCTATGCCTGTTTATTAAGCCTTAAAAGCTGCATGTTTTCCTAGCACTGTGTTTTAAAGGGCTCCACTCAGGGACCAATAATCCAAATAGGACATTGGATAATCCACCTAGATGCCAATAATCCAAAAAGGAGATTGGCCTGTCTGTGTAGTTATATGTGTGTCATGTGTGAGATCTATGAAAAGAACCCTAATTAATTGGCCTAAAGGAAGATAAGCACTTGAATCAAATATTTTTTTAAAGGAAAGATAAAAGCTGTGGTACCTTTCAATTCACATGACTTTAATCTTTGGGAAATAAAAACAGCCCTAAAGATTTTTGGTAAAATGCCGATGTCATCAAAATATAAATAGGTTGACTAAATTAGGCAGGTGAGATACTAGGTTGGCTACATGTTTTAAGGTTCTAAACTGCATTTTTGGTTTTTGAGAACCTTTCAATTTGCCACTTCACAATTGATAAGGCCTAGGGACATATGAAACCAACCATCTTCTTAATTATGCCAGAAGGAGTCATACCTTGGCTCCACCTAGCACATAATTAAAACAACCTACCAGGTTTTACATTAAATTTTTTTTTAAATGCACTTTTGGAGGCCAAGGCGGGTGGATCACGAGATCAGGAGTTCAAGATTAACCTGGCCAAAGATGGTGAAACCTTGTCTCTACTAAAAATCCAAAAATTAGCTAGGCATGGTGGTGGGTGCCTGTGATCCCAGCTACTTAGGAGGCTGAGTCAGAGAATTACTTGAATCCAGGAAGTGGAGGTTACAGTGAGCTGAGATCATGCCACGGCACTCCAGCCTGGGCAACAGAGCGAGACTACAAACCAAGAAAAAAAATTTTTTAATTGCTAAAACTTATCATTATTACATGTAATTGAGACTACTGGAAATAGATTTCCATGCAAGGTGTGTAAGGAAAGTAAAATGTGTTTTTAATAAAAGGTTATAAAAAACATAAAAATGTAAACTTGCCTAGGGTTAAATAATTGTTTTAAATTAAATAAGAATAAATGTTCAAACAAGTGATGGAAGGATTATAAAAAACTGGTTTTGACTGGAAGCATATGCTCCCCTTTAAGGAGTCAAGCTCAATTTGCAGAGGTGATAAAAGCCTCTTGGGAAAAACTGGCCTCATACTCTTTTCTACACAATCTCTGTACAAAGTTCCTGACCTGTGGTCACTGAAAAATGTCACCTTCTAACAGTCCCAGGAGCTCCAAGTTTATCTTGGGACTTTAAGAGAAGAAGATCACCCAACTCACAGGTATTTAAGATAGAAATCCATGGCTGGGCTCAGCTTTAAAACTTATTATTAATTAATAAAAACATATTATTAATCTCTTATCTTAGATTCCTTGTGGAATACAGTTCCATCAAAGCCAATCTAAAAGGCCCATGTAGAGATAATTATTCTTGCTGCACTTTATGCAAATAGTCAGGTCAAGCATAAGACTAAAGTCTATTATGCAAATGACTCAGTCCTTTCATGATTTGTTTTTTTAACAAAAATGAGGACTGGAGAGAGAGAAAACTCATCATATATTTGTCATTAAATTCTAAACTCATTAGCTCATTAGTTTTTTTAAGTTTTTGCCTACATTTTACACTAACCCTGCTTGTTCTTGTGAACCAACCATCTCTGACTGCAGCTCAGAAGGAACAAAAGGAAATGGGTAATGTAAAAATTTGGATCAATATTCTAGTTCTGGACAATTATCCTGCAAATCCTGCCAGGTGATGGGAATAAATAGGGTGCCCATAACTCGGAGGTTTCCTTTTTGGGAAAGTAAGATAAAGGGAGCTAACCAAAGCCAACCACAATGCACTCAAATCCTAGGAAGCACAAATGTGGCTACCAGCTATTTGAGCAGGTCACAAGACATCCTTTTCTCTCCCTTGTTGGAGGAAGACTCAATTCCACAGCTTCACCTTAGACTTTGGCTTATGATAAGAAGTCTTTGCAACCCCCACGAGACACATTTTTGTCCCAAACTCAATTACCAGCTTCGGGTCAAAGCCCTAGAAAAGAAAATTGTATCTGAGGGAGCCAAAGCCCGATGATAACAGAAGTTAAAAGGCACAACACAGGTGAGTGTGACTGATTCCTGCCAATTAAGCCAACCCTCTCATTCCATGGATAAAGGCCACGCTAATATCCATGGCATAAATGAGGTCTAGGGAATTCAAGGCTACTGACAGTAGGGGTGATAGGGCACACATGCATAAGAGGGGTACTCCCATCCCCTACACCCCCCTATTAACATAGGTGAAAGCTGCTTTAACACCAATGGGTGGCACCCTGTTGAGGTCATCAAGACTTGTGAATACAAGGACAGAGGAAAGAAAGAGGAATGTCTCATTTTCCCTCTCTCATGTGCCCTGGGTATTTGCTAGGAAGAGAAAGGAACCAGGGAACCAGGGACACCTGCTCCCCTCTGTCTAGATGAGTAGCTATTCACTCATCTTTAGTCTGTACCCCTTTTGAATGCATCCTGAACCTCTGGGACTCCTCTGAAAAAAATCCTTCTTTTTTTCCTTTATTTTCATCTATCCCTTTCACTGATAGGTAATTGTGTTTCCAAACTACAGGACACTGCCCTCAGATGCATCCTTCAAAATGGGAAGAGTTAATTTCCCAAACCTTAAACTGGTTGGCTTAGAATTGGGCTCAGGGGAAGGGAACCCAGAAGCCTAACATGCTAACGAAAATGTAAAAAGCTTTTTGTTTTTTTTTTGTTTTGTTTTGTTTTTTTACCAGTCAGGCTTTTGGCCTCCCTCTCCCTGTGCAAACTGGTGAAAGGCCTCAGGATTTTTGAGCTGTCCTTAATCCTCCCTTCTTCTGTTTGGATATATGTTTTCTAATATCCAGTTTGTCTCTTCTCACCTCAGGCTATCAAACTCCAAACGATCATGCAACCAGAGCCTTGGTCCATGGCTCCTTTTGCCAAGAACCCACAGATAGGCCTCTGAGGGAGCTCTGACTGCCATTTCCCCAAAATAATGCCCCCTGTCAGCAGGAAGCAGTGAAGATCAGCCTTCATCCTTATCCTTATTCTTATACTAAGGGCAGTTAGATGTCCTTCTTTAGTTGAGGGGTAACTGTACTTTTTTAGAGGGGGGGATGATAGAGATAGGAGGAAGCCAAGGGTCCCCCATTCAAGTGCTGCCCTTAAACCTAAAACAACCCAAAGGCTGAAAAACCAGACTGCTGGTCTTGGAGAATCTCCGATTCAATCGGCCTGCGCACCAAGGGGATGGGATGGAGCCTTGGGAAGTTCGTGCTGTTTGCAGAGGGTAGGAGTCTGGCCTCCCTTGTTCCAGTGTGGTAACCTGGGATTTAATCTGTGAGATGGGGGTCTGTTAACAGGAACCCCTATCACTTTCCTTTTTTTGAGTTTTTGCCTTTTTGCCCAATAAATTTCATCGCTCCTCCCTCTTCAAAGTGTCTGCAAGCCTAATCTTTCCTGGTCATGTGACAGGAACCCAGTTTTTTTCCTACAACACTAGCCACCTACTATTTATGCTTTTATTGACTCCCCAAAATAATCTAGCAATGTAGGTTTTATAGTCTTCATTTTAATAATAAGTAAACTGAATCACAGACAGTGCTAGAGAAATTGTCCAAGCTCAACTCAACTGGCAAACCAGAGTTGAGATATTTTGTTTTTGTTTTTGAGACAGAGTCATCCTTTTGCCCAGGATGGAGTGCAGTGGTACAATCTCAGCTCACTGCAATCTCTGCCTCCTGTGCTCAAGTGATTCTCCTGCCTCAGCCTCCCAAGTGGCCAGGATTACAAGCACATGCCAGCATGCCTGGCTAATTTTTGTATTTTTAGTAGAGATGAAGTTTCACCATGTTGGCCAGGCTGGTCTCGAACTCCTGACCTCAAGTGATCCACCCACCTCGGCCTCCCAAAGTGCTGAGATTATAGGTATCAGCTACCACGCCCAGCCATTGCTGAGATTTAATCTACATCTTTCCTACTCCAGTACTGGTATTCAAACCAATTTGTTTGGACAAATTCCAATACTGGACAAATTCAAACCAATTCTCCAATTTCATTTCCCAATAGTTAGTGGGTAGATTTAGTCTGCGGATGAGACCCTGGGAAAATCTTTATATGAAAGCTTCATGTCAGCTCTGGAAATCACCACCTCCTGGCCAATGTATTCTTATTAATTATGTATTTTACATATAATGAATTCATTACCAAGCGTGCGTGAAAGGAAAGAAACTCTGCTGTATAATTGCTATAAGCTAGCGGTCAGCAAAAACACAGAAAAAAACTGACACATGAGTTAGTGTATTCTATTTTCCAGTTCTGTTTTATGAATTTTAAAAATTTAAACTGCCTGTCAGTATTTTATTTCAAAATGATCTGGATTTTGGTTATAAATCAGCAACATATTTCAGTCTAAATGTCATGAAATTTGAAAACAGGATAACAACAACAAAAAAGCTACATAAGTTTAATATGTTTGTTAATTTCTCAGTTATTTATTGGTAGCAAAATGCAATCTCCTTTTATCTTAAACATTTTATTTATTAATGAATTTAAAAATCGTGAGCAAAATAATCATTGTTTCAATTTGAATGCAATTAAGTTTTTAATGCATGTGCAAGATCTTAACAAGCATAAATCAAAAATAATAAAACTACATGGTCACGATTACATTAATTTTTCAAAATTACTGTGTCAATTTAGAGTTTTTCATTTTTAATTCATTAATCATTTCCTGAAGTTTCAAATTAAATGTTTCAGGAGTTATTTCCATAATCTCTAGAGCTAGATTCCAAGGGACCGCTATATTCACTAGGTTTTTCTGTACAAAGATAACCTGTAAAAGATACAAAATTATTATTTGTAAACTCTTGAAAAATTTGTTAAGTACCTTTTGGCAATATATGGTTCATAACTTTATTTTATTTCTACTAATGTAGTGGTAAAATCATAAATTATACAAAGAAAAGTAAACATGGCATGTCATTCATTGCATTATTGGTAATACCATTTGGCAATATCGGACTTATCAACTTTATTACATGTTTTTTTCTATGAATTTGGGGGTAAAATAATAAATTATGCAAGAAAAAATATATGAAATGTCATTGTTATATTTTTGGCAATAGCTAATAATAACACTATACATCTATTAAACAGAATGAGTTGGATCAACTCATTTTAAGAAAAAGGCTGCCCCCAAAATTTTCACAGAATGAAGGAGACTTGGTCTGCTGCTCGTTGTGTGAAGGAAAGCTGCCTACTGACAGAGAATGCTGTACTAGCACCAAAGGAAAAACTTCAATTGCATGAAGTCTATACATGTTTAGATGTTTTTGTTACTCTCACTGATTCAGAGGTTTTTAAAAATATAGATTTAATTTATTCATGCTTCATTTGCTCCATTTATATCTTTCAGACTTGATGTTTTTGCTTTGAAAAATACTAATAGAATAATTATGTTTTAAGTTTGGCTCAATGGTTCAGTGCATGTATGGCAAATAGGAATGATATGGTCATTTTCAAAGTGGTTGATAAAGAATCCTCTGTTTTTTTCACTCACTAGAAGATCTAGCATTTGAAGGTTGGAAATAAAAGCCTTCTTCCATGACTAATAGTATTGAATGAAGGGAACTCAGGTAAGCCAAATTGCTAGTAATTCCATTAATCACGGCAGGTTTTCTTTTGAAATGTCTTCATTTTCTTTAAATTTAAGAGCAGAAAAGAAGGATTTTACTTTAAAAAAAAATCTGATGAGTAAAATAAGGAATATATATGGGTGTGTAGAACAAAAAAAAAAGTGTTTCAGTTGGTTTGCCAACTTCAAGTTCAACATGGACTCCAGATGAAGGGACAGGCCATGAGTAAGAAGATTAAAATGTATGCTCATTAAGTGGTTCTATATATCAAGAGTGATTATTGCTAAAGAAATACAATAGATACTCACAGGAAATTATAACTTTAGAGTGCTGTAATGTATATATCACTGATTTGTTATTTCTTCCTATATTTTTCAACATAATACTGATTTTGAAAAGTATCTTTTTAAGATTCTTACCTGTAGATTTATCCATATTGCCAAGCATATTTAGAAGAAACAGGACTACATTCTGAAAAGTAGTAAAGTCACTGATGAAAGGGGCTACATCAGCAGTAACAAGAATTCGTGGTGGCAGGCCCTTCTGGAAGTTATATGTTCTAATCAAGGTTGTGGGAAAGTGGGCTGCAGCTATATATCCCACAGCCACTACCCAACTTCTCTCAAAATGTGCTTCTGTTTTAGAATAATAATCATATCTAAAAGACAAATGGAAAAGTATTTAATTACATTTAGTCACCTCAGAATTTCAACCTCATTGCCTTCGGAAAAAATTGGTTCTTGCCAAAAAACTGAATTCATAATTTTATAATTTAGAAAATAGGTTTGATAATGTGATGACTTTATTCCATCCCTCAGGAGATGTGAAGATGGCTTATTAAAATTCTAATTCTAGGGAGAATCGTCTCATAAATTGTTTACATTTTATATTGCATTTTATTTTCTTTCATTAGGCACATTATATTTGAATATCACCTAATAACCAAAAGTAAGGCCATTTTTAAATCATAGTCTCTGGCAATGTAGAGATAAATATCGAAGGTCTAAGACAAAATTTTTGCTAGACTCAAATATCTTTTGTGAAACTGTCGATTTCTTGAAGTCAGGAGATTCTAGAAACAGGGCATTCTAGAAAAGCAGATGTCTGATTTTTACTATCTAATTTCTAAATAATTGGAATTTTTCTACCACTGGGAGCCTCTGGTAGAAAAAAGCCTCTGTAATTGTTAGAAAAAGACTATAATTATTAGAAAAGCCTCTGTAACTATTTGTCCCCATAATAGGTGAGAAAGTTTAGTTTCTCCTAAGAAATGGGGACAAGTAATTACAGTAGAAAGATTAAAGGTATATTCAGTAGTTTTATAACTATAAAATTCATGTCTTCTGTTTCTATCAGCTGTCTAAGCATGCTAAACAACCTGTAATTTTGCAAACAGACTTGTTCTTCCTGAGACATTGTATATTCACCATATGGTTCATCAGGAACATTCTGTTTTAAGTCTCATCATAGTTACCTTCTTCACAAAAGTTTCCAGCCCACCTGAGGTGGAATCTACCACTTTCTTCTCTTCTATATTCCCATAAAACCATATCATCCACATAGCTGAAGATTTGCTCTCTAGTTATATTCTAGTATGATGTCTAGAAATTAGATTATCTGATTTTATTTTGACAGCAACATAGAAGGGATCCATTAAACAGAAGGTGCTTGCATTATGCCTGTCAAAATTAAACTATAACATAACCCAGATAATACTTGCTGTCTGTTTGACTCACATGCTTGTGGGATCCTCCCTGCCCTATACTTGAAAGTGGTACGGTGGGCAGAGTTGGATTGTTGATGACAGAAGTATTTGGTCTGGATTCAATGCCCCTTAATACATTATAGTCACCTACCAAACAAAGCTGAAAGGAAATGTGAAGTCATAAAGATTCTGAGCAATGGCCACAGAGCCCTAGTAATGGTGTATTTTTAAACAAATTTCAAGTGAGTCAGAATCACTGGGAAAGGAGAAAAGAGATGAGGGCACCAGTTCAATACACAGAAATCACAAGAGCAGTGAAGAAATTCAATAGGAACCTCTTTAAATGCATCAGCTGAATGATTTGTTGGTCAGTTCACCTAACAATCAGATAGAATGTGGTCACTAAAAAAGAATTAAAGTACATTTGAAATGGTTCACATAAAGTTGAAATGCAGGTATACATAAGTCAGTCAATCCAAGGATCCACAGCCACAGGATTTTATATGAGTATATGCAGGCTACAAAATATTCAGTATTGTCTCAATTAAATACTCCTTAATATGTATTTGCCTAAAGAAAGTAACAGATGAGCTTTTAGGGTTGGTTCACAGCATGTAACAGACTGCAACCATGGCCCCAGTTCTTCACCAATCCCTACAACTCTGTCTTCTGCCATGTAACTTCGAGTACTGGTTCTTCCTACATTGGGCGATAGGCAGAAATTCCCACTTCTGATTCAGTCATGCAACTTGACTTGGAAAATGCAATATTAACTATTTTGACATAGCATAAACTTAAAATGCATTTTTCACAATTTGGTTTTTCTTTCTTGCAATTCTGCCATCACTGTGGGAAACTCCTAGGTTTGTCTCATGTAGAATGAGATGTGGAACAGTGCTGAGCTTCCCCAGTCATCCCTGCTGGAGCCAATCAAAATCAACCAACATGAGAGTGAACCCATGAAAGATCAGCAGAGCTGCTTAGCTAAACCGCAGACACCTGAGCAATAAACACAGTTGTATGACACTGAGGTTCAGTGATTTTTGATTGGGGTGCTTTCTTTCAAACAAAGCTAACTTAACTCAGGGCCACACACATAGTAGATTGCAGGGCCCTGCCTTAAACCCTGGCAATGTGCCTTTAAGCCCATGTTCTTTACTACTCCTCTCTACTGCTTTTTGTCATGGTGATAACAGTTACTTTATATTGAATATTTCTCATTTGCCAGTAGTACATTAAGCATAACTTATAGATTTCTTAATTAATCCTCAAAATTGCCTTATGTGGCATGTACTATTGTTATTGCTATTTTAAAAATAAGAAAATTGAGTTTCTCCCTGTTTGAATTCCTAGGTCAAATGAGCCAGTATTTCAAACTCAGGTCTGTGGAACTTCAAAGCAAAACATCTTAATTTGTATATTATTATTTTATTTCAAGGAACAATCATTAGCCTTGAGTCTTTTAATATGAATTGATAGACCTGACAAACCAGAGACCTGATAAACAGGTAGATTAACAAATCAGAACACATAAGCAGGCATTTGAAATCTTCCATAATAATCATATTAAAAGATGTACCTTTCACCAATATAAAGCTTTGAAAATATTCAAATTGTCTGAGGAATTTTTATCAAACTTTCAGTGAGGTGAATTAATAGAAAACATGTAATTTTGGCTTTCTTAATAGTGTGTCTATATATAAATATATCCATAACACACATTATATTCTGAACTGATCCCAATTAAAGAGACAATAGAAGGAAATTTTTAGGTAAAAGAGTTTTTTAGTAAAAATGCTGCTTTTAACAAATACTTGTACTTTTGCAACCTACGATGTCGCCTTTAAAATGACACAAGAAGCGCCGGGCGCGGTGGCTCAAGCCTGTAATCCCAGCACTTTGGGAGGCCGAGGCGGGTGGATCACGAGGTCAAGAGATCGAGACCATCCTGGTCAACATGGTGAAACCCCGTCTCTACTAAAAATACGAAAAATTAGCTGGGCATGGTGGTGCGTGCCTGTAATCCCAGCTACTCAGGAGGCTGAGGCAGGAGAATTGCCTGAACCCAGGAGGCAGAGGTTGCAGTGAGCCGAGATCACGCCATTGCACTCCAGCCTGGGTAACATGAGTGAAACTCCGTCTCAAAAAAAAAAAAAAAAAATAAAATAAAATAAAATAAAATAAAATAAAATGACACAAGAAATAAACTCAGAACTTGTGGGGAGCAACAAGGTTTTAGAAGCTGAAAATCAAAAAGAACTAGTTGAAAAGATTTAATAGAATCCAGAAAACTAAATTCTAAGCAACGAGAAAGGAAAATAGAAAAATAATGCTGATATAATTTGTAGAATTCTCCTCGATTTAAGTCTCAGTAATACCCGCTGGGAGAAAGGAGATTGCTAAAATCAAGGAGACTAAAAGCCTTTAAAGAAGCAATCGTATATAAAGATGTCTTCCCAGATTTCAAATAGTAGATAACTGGCACTCCTCGCCCTGAAAAGGGTAGAACAGAGGGTCCTTGAACTGTGTGAACTAATCATGGTTGAAGGTAGGAATACCACCTTGGAAACGGGATATAAATGAAAATGATATACAAAGACACCCTCCTCTTGCTTTTTCCTTCTCTTCTGACTTCAATAATACTGGTAGCCAGGTCTTCACTTTTGAAGCAGGTGACTGAAAGTGTCTCTTCTGGAAACTGGGTGGGCTCAAGAGAAAAGACTTAAAGTTATTGGAACCATACTGTTGGGACAGCCAAATGCCTAGCCAGATAAAATGGGGTGGCCCAGAGAATCCCTAACCCACCCCACAAGTGTTCATATCAGCTGCTTTTGTGCGGATGAGGAAACCTGCCCAGGCCCTTGTCTGAGCATTTCCCCAAGTGCACTGGGGGGACGGGGTGAAGCCACAGGAAATTTGCACCTTGCACAGGGGAGGAGCCTGCTTTTTTCAGCTGGAGTATTGGCCCGGTGTTCAAACTGCGAAGTGGGAAACCTGCCAGCAGGACTCTCTCTTGGTTTGCTGAGAGTTATTTTTCCTTTTTGACCCATAAGTTCCATTCCCCTCACCCTTCGAAGTGTCTGTGTGCTTGACTTTTCCTTGTCGTGTGACAAGAACCCGTTTTTTTCCTACAACAGTGTCAATAGTTAAAAGATTACCTAAACAACCCAGCAAGATTACTCTAGAGGTATGTTTTTAGTAGAAAACTTCCACTCACGCAGTCAGATCTTCTAAGTGATTCTTTTTAAATATGAGCAGACACTCTACTATTACTAGATAGCTGAGGAAAACCTATAATGTGAATCGGAGACATCAAAACAAACAGACCTCTAGCAAGCCCCAGAAGCACCAAGTAACCAAGCAAAGGTCCTTTCCAGGGCTCATTGTGCACATTGATTTCTTACAGCAGCTGGGGTTGTGAGTGAGTTCTTTCTTAGATTCATGTTGCAAGAACTTGTGTTTTAGTCTCTTTGAATTCACTGGAGCATTTTTTTTTTATCTGAACTACATTTAAAAGTCATGACAGAAACAGGAGTGGGTCCTATAGAGAGGCCTCAGGTATCTGACTGCGTCAGAGACTGGACTGTGTTCAGTAGATAGGTCTGGTTATCAAAAGATAGGAAATTATGGGTTCATCTGGATCCAAGGATTCTGGAACTCCTCTATCTGGAACTTCAGCCAATTTAATATTATAAAAAAGAAAGAAAAAAAACTATGGACCCAGAACCTATGCTTTTATAGAGAAATGGGTGCATTTTACCAAAAGTAATTTAGAATTACATTGGCCACAGTGAGGAAACTCCTTACAAAATGCAAACAGGTGCTTATCTTCATAGTTACAACAGCTACAGGGACAAACAAGACTTATTCATACCTATTTTAAAATTCAAACCAAGGGCTCCCAAACTAAAGAAACTTGTGCATTGAGATGTTTGCTTTTATCGTAAGCAGCC